TTAATTTTTGAGACAGTTTGTTCCCTACTAACCTGGTAACAAGTTGATATTTTCAACTCCTGTTTAAGTTCAGGTCCTTCGTCCGTTTCTCCTTCGAAGGTTAAAGTCAGATGTTGAGAAGGGTTTGCCACCAAAAAAAGAAACCATTCTCAAAGTAGGAATGTCACAGATGCAGAAACATTATTACAGAGCTTTACTGCAGAAGGATCTTGAGGTTGTCAATGCTGGTGGAGAGCGAAAACGCCTCCTAAATATAGCTATGCAACTGCGTAAATGTTGTAATCACCCATATCTTTTCCAAGGTGCTGAACCTGGTCCTCCTTATACAACTGGAGAACATCTCATTACAAATGCTGGTAAGTTCTGAGTTCTATTTCTGTTATATTTCAGATTTCCTTTAAGCTGGTCAATATTAGCTCTGATATTGTTTTACCCTTTTTTGTCAGGTAAAATGGTTCTTTTGGATAAATTGCTTCCTAAATTGAAAGAGCGAGACTCTAGGGTGCTTATATTTTCTCAGGTTGGTTATCTATTGGCATGTGGTTTGGTTTTGGTCTGTGGTGACCATATGTGCCTTGAATTATCCAGCCTAATTGCCTCTTTTCCTTTCCATTTTGGTTGCCATTAGTGTTAAACTTCCTTGCACCTTTATTTTTCAGATGACCAGGCTACTAGACATACTTGAAGATTACTTGATGTTTCGTGGATATCTATATTGTCGTATTGATGGTAATACTGGTGGAGAAGATCGTGATGCTTTTATTGAAGCTTTCAATAAACCTGGAAGTGAAAAATTTGTCTTCTTGTTATCAACTCGGGCTGGAGGTCTTGGCATCAATCTCGCTACTGCAGATGTTGTCATTCTATATGACAGTGACTGGTCAGCATTTTTTGAATTATATTGTCTGTACCATACTTTCGCTCTTTTGTTGATGGTTTCATTACAGGAACCCACAAGTTGACTTACAGGCCCAGGACCGGGCACATAGGATTGGCCAAAAGAAAGAAGTTCAAGTTTTCCGTTTCTGCACTGAGGTTTTTCTTATATCATCATTTTATTTTCCTGTTCATTATTAACTAAATATGATTAACTAAATATTTCATTGTATCATTAAACTGTAACAGTATGCCATTGAGGAAAAAGTCATTGAAAGAGCTTACAAAAAGCTTGCACTCGATGCACTGGTGATTCAGCAAGGGCGATTAGCTGAGCAGAAGAGTAAGAAAAGGCTTTTCTTGTTCCTTTCCAGCTAGATTTATGAATTATCTAATACAGTTTAATTGTTTATTTATGCAGCTGTAAATAAAGATGAGTTGCTTCAAATGGTTAGGTTTGGTGCTGAAATGGTTTTCAGTTCAAAGGATAGTACAATTACAGATGAGGATATTGACAGAATTATTGCTAAAGGAGAAGAAGCAACAGCTGAACTTGACGCCAAGATGAAGAAATTTACTGAAGATGCAATCAAGTTCAAGATGGATGACTGTATGTAACCCTATGGACTGACTTTATAGCTTTGTAACTAAAATTGGATTGACCTTTCTCCTGTTAAATTTTGTGTTGCGTGCCCACTTAATTCAAGAGATATGAAGCCCACATGTCTTTGTGTCATATTGAAGCCTGATATGGCTTCAATGTACGCTTCATCCTTCGAGGTTGTACCCTTGTGGTGAAAAGGGCATGCAGTAAATATGATTATGTTTGCTTATTTGCTTGCATTAGTAGTGGTTTCAGATACCACGTAGAACAATATCTGCATGCTTATTTAAGTATCATTATTTTCATACAAATTAGTGAACTTTTTAGATCCCCTTTAGCATTTTGTTTTCGCTATTTCGTTTGTCATTGAAATGTGAGTATACTAAGATTGATACTTTTTTCACATTGCAGCTACTGAGCTGTATGATTTTGATGATGATAAGGTAAATATTACTCTATGTCTTTGACAACAATAATTTGCTTTTATATTACTATATGTTGCTTCAAGGTTTTATTATTTCAGAAGAAAATAACATATCTTCTAATTATTTTAGTTTCTGTTCTTAAATGAAGGATGATAACAAATTCAAAAAAATCGTTAGTGAAAATTGGATCGAGCCACCAAAAAGAGAGCGCAAGCGCAAGTAAATGTCGTCCTTTTCATTTGAAATTCAGATTTAGCTCAATCAATTTATTCCCTTGGGATGATATATGTTTGTTTTAATTGCTTTACTCAGTTACTCAGAATCTGAATACTTCAAGCAAACATTGCGCCAAGGTGCTCCTACAAAACCTAGAGAGCCCCGTATTCCCAGGATGCCTCAGCTGTAAGTCCTTGTGAAGCTGTCTTAACGTATTTCTTCTTATGCAACTGTGCAATAACTGTCACCCTTCTTCCTCCAGGCATGATTTTCAATTCTTCAACACACAAAGGTTGAGTGAGCTGTATGAAAAGGAAGTACGCTATCTCATGGTGGGTAATATAAACTTGCTAGTAGATTTGAAGTTTAGCTTAACATATAGGTATGGCTTGGCAGTGGCGCTCACTTTTTCTAACGAATTGTTCAGCAAACCCATCAAAAGAATCAGATAAAGGACTCAATTGATGTTGATGAACCAGAAGGTTCGCGAGTACTCTAGATTATAGTTCTCTTTTTTCCTTTTCATTTGGCTTTTAATTCTAATGAGATAGCATGTGTTGAATGTCTAGAAATGGGAGATCCTTTGACTGCTGAGGAGCTGGAAGAGAAAGAACGCCTGCTAGAGGAGGTAAGTGTATTTTCTTAATGAACTAAATTTCAGCTTCAGATTCTGTTTAACTTGGTTATCTGGTGAATTATAGGGATTTTCATCGTGGAGCCGAAGGGATTTTAACACTTTCATCAGGGCATGTGAAAAGTATGGTCGAAATGATATAAAAAGTATTGCTTCTGATATGGAAGGTAAAATGGAGGAGGAAGTTGACAGATACGCAAAGGTCTTCAAAGAGAGATACAGGGAATTAAATGGTGCGTAGTATTGAGGTCAAAAGGCCAGAACTGATTAATTGTGATTATCTGAGCTACCTCCATTTACTTTATTGGATGACCCTTAACAGGTGTAAATGAGGGTTGGCCTCTGTAGATCAACTTGTTTGCTCCATTTTTCAAACAGCAGCTCCTTTTCCTCTTGGTTCTTTGCGATATCTCTTTTGTCAAGTGAAGCATGAAATTAACATCTCATAAAAATTGAAGATGTTTTTAACTAGTGGGTTTTAAACTGATATCTGCAGATTATGATCGAATTATTAAGAATATTGAAAGAGGGGAGGCAAGAATATCCCGTAAAGATGAGATTATGAAGGCTGTTGGGAAGAAGTTGGATCGCTATAAGAATCCATGGCTAGAGTTGAAGATACAATATGGCCAAAATAAGGGGAAGTTATACAATGAAGAATGTGACCGATTCATGGTAAATCTACATTTGATTTTCCTTTTTTTTTAATAAAAAAAATTCTCATATCTGGCCCCTCTAATATCTTGCATTTTAACATCTAATATCCTAATATCATCCAAAATTTGCTTCATTCACAGATATGCATGGTTCACAAACTTGGTTATGGGAATTGGGATGAGTTGAAGGCGGCATTTCGCACATCACCCTTGTTTCGGTTTGATTGGTTTGTTAAGTCCCGCACAACACAGGAACTTGCAAGGAGATGTGACACACTCATTCGATTGGTAGAGAAGGAAAACCAAGAATTTGATGAGAGGGAGAGACAAGCTCGTAAAGAGAAGAAACTTGCCAAGGTTTTTTTTTTAATTTTTGTCCTCTTGTACCACGTCCATTTCCAATATCTGGCGTAGAGACAATAAAATGGAAACATAATATGATAAATACTTTGGACTTGTAGCTGTCTGGTTACAGGGCCAAAAGAATGCAACCATGACATAATTTGAATACTGCGTATGAATTGCTATTTTTACCCCAAATTTAATTTTATGTTTCAGAACATGATGACCCCTTCAAAACGTGCATTGGCAAGACAGACGGATAGTCCATCTTCTCTGAAGAAGCGCAAGCAATTAACTATGGATGACTATGTTAGCACGGTATTAATCTTTTCTTTGCATTTGCAAGCAATTAACTATGGATGACTATGTTAGAGATATCTTATAATATAGTTGACTGAAGCTTTGATGTTGTGGTGGCCAGGGAAAGAGGAGAAAGTAGACGGACAAAGAGTGTGACCAAGTTCATGTGAATGTGATAGATTGATAGCCCGATTTTGCATTCCCTAGTTGGATGTTGCAAAATGCAAACTCAGTCTTTTTTCTCCCCCCAAACATGCATAGGTTCCAGATGGTGGTGAGTTAAATAGGATGTATTTTGTAAAGTTAAATGTAGGATATATTAAGATGTAACGAGATGCTGGTGAGTTTTGTAAATCTACTAACAAGCCGTCAAGTTTGCATGTTGCATCATCTTGTATTAAAAGCCAGTGCAATTAATATATCCAGCTTTTCTTAGCCGTGATTCTGTTGGTGCACAAGTGACCCCCGCTCAAAGTTATCATCATCCAAGTAAATTTACACTTGATCAATCTATAAAAAACCGAAATTCTAACCAGAGAAATTTATGTGACCTTTCCTTTGAAAATAGACTAGCCACATTTTGGCAAAGAAAAGGACTCTGCTTATTTAGGGTTGGTTTGATTTTTATTTTTAAAAATAAAAAATTAAAAAAATTATTTGGGTAAATATTATATTTGACTATTACGTTTTCCCAATATTATGATAAATCATCATCATTGAACTATCAAGTTTTCCCAACCGAAATAAAAGGTGGTTTGCAAAATAGTTTATAAAAATTAAAAATGACAACAAAATCCCCTTAACGTCTTCTCGTTTAGGAATAAAAGCACAATCCACAAGATATGTCTCATCCACTCAAAATTCATGACATTCATCAACCAATTGAAGGCATGATGCAATAAACTCGAAGCGTGCAAGCAGGTAAAAAGGAGTGGGAGAAAGCATGGTTGACATAATAATATAATATACCTTTTTTTTTTTTTGTTTTTTGTATAAGCTGAAAACATGAGACTCTTGACATAAACAGATACTGTACGAGTACATGTACCAGCAACGACACCCACACCAAATCCACCAAGCACCCTCCAAACGAGGCTGCAAAAATTAGACGACTCTGTCTAACATGAACCTACAAATCCTTGGTACATACATAGATGACCATGTTTACATTTCAAATTCCCAATCCACACTCTCTCTCCCCCCAACTCTCTCACTCATCTCCACTCTGTATTCTTCACCACAATGACCACCTACCAGAATCACACCGACCAACAATCATGCTTGCTTGTTCCTGGGTAGACATGAAAACCAAGACATTAGAGGATCACCTTTATGCAAATTTCCCTGCGACTCAATTAAATCTCTCCATTCCAAGATGAAAAGTGAAGTGGATTGGTGTTTTGAATTCTGCATTCACTCATTTGTGGCATCAAAGCTACCCATTGCATTAGCCCTCTTCTTTTCTCTCCAATTCTCACCCCATACTTTCGCTTCTGCCACTGCACGTTCTCTGTCCAGGTCACGGTTCCTCGGAGTTTCCCTAGCTCTCCCAGTATTTACAGGGCTATCTCTCTGAGATTCCAGCCTTTCTACATCATCCAATCCCCATCTTCTTCCTGACCCAGTTTCACTTCTGCCAACTTCTTTCCCAACACTTGGATCCCCACCATCTCTCCTCCGAACATCAGGCAAGTTCTTGTGAGTGGAAGGGGAGCCACTCCGCCCACGATCAGGGCTATCCATAACGCCATCGGCCATGCTCCTTCGGTCATCCCTGCTCCTTGGGGTTGATGAACCACCTCTATTATTCTGAGTAGCTGCATTTGGGTCATATGTCTGTGACGCCAAGTATGTAAGAGCAGTCACAACATCCCCAATAAGAGGCCTTGTAGCTGCTTGTTCCTGCAAACACATGGCTGCAACTGCAAGTGCTTGGTAGAGTCCTCGCATTGGGTAGCGCCCTTGAAGCAAGGGATCAGCCATTTTTGGAAACTTCCTACGGTCTTTAAAAAGAGGACGTGCCTACAAAGTTACATGTTCCAATGGATGTTAAGACAAGTGAGCATAACCTTATTTCAGTCCCCACCATTGTTATATATATAATATATATCTATGGAACAAGAAGCAGCACAAATATGACCAGGTGTAGTACTTACCCAGGCAACAAGATTATGCTCTCCGGGTGCACGGGTATTGTCGATAGCTTTGCGCCCAGTAATAAGTTCAAGAAAGACAACACCAAAGCTATATACATCAGATTTCAGAGTTAGCTGGCCTGTCATGGCATACTCTGGAGCACAGTAGCCATATGTTCCCATTACTCGTGTAGACACATGTGTCTTATCACCGACAGGACCAAGCTTTGCAAGCCCAAAATCAGATAGCTTGGGATGATAACCCTCATCAAGGAGAATGTTGGATGACTTCAAGTCTCTATAAATAACAGGGGGGTTTGCTTTGTCATGCAAATATTCCAATCCCTTGGCAGCACCAGCAGCAATTTTCATTCTTGTGTTCCAGTCTAAAGGCTCCTTGTCAGGAGGAAGATCTGAAAAAAATCAGTCAGAAGTTTCTCTACAGTGCATCAGCTAAAACTTTATATGGTTAAATTTCACAATAATATCACTGATGCACATGCAGTGACTATAAATCAGAATAATCTGTCACGTGATGCACGTACACTTGCAAAAAGGTTGCAGAATTATGATATCAGGTGAACTTGGAGCATACTCCATCCTTATATACAAGGTGTTTTCTATAAACTTATTTTATCCCTAAATATTAATTGAAGGGTGTCATGATATTTTTGAGTGATTACACAATTTTGCCCTTGTTTTGGAAAGGGAGAAGAGATATTAATTGTGTGTTTTATCAACCACCATGGTATTAATTGTACATTGTCAAGGGCAAACTGGAAAATTGTTGTTGTTTTATGTATCTTCAACTAAATAACAATTTTTTATTAATATGTGAGATTCAGTTAAAAACACCTTATCCATCAAGGCAGAGGGAGTATTAAAATAGTTGCAATATTAACCAACAAGCTAAATTAGTCAAGAAACAAGTTAAAGAAGAGATTTTGAAACTATATCTTGGAATACAAGGCTTGATAGCTAGAACACAAAAATGTAACATCAAGTCTACAAAACAACTCAGATCTGGAGTCAAACTTTGCCAGCACAGACATCTCGGTCTACAGAAGTCATTGAAGAACAGATTGCCAAAAAGCTTTATCACAAATCCATTGAAACTTGATGTAAATTCTTGGCAACCAGGTTATCGAGAGTTCTCATACAAATGCTTACACACACACACACACACACACACAACATTTAACTAATTTGATGATATGACAACAAAAATTCAAATTATAATGCCCCTCCAACATAAGTAAATCCTATTATGCAAGTTTACCACTAACATCATTCAACCAAATTCAACTAATTTGATTCCTCAAGTAAAGGTTTAGGTCTATGCTTAAGCCAAATGCCGACTCTCTCAATCAAGATATTAACAATACTAATTCCTGAGCAACAATCTGGTCCTTGAAGAAAGCTATTGATCCAACATTAATGTTTGGAAACAAGAAAAGGTGTTACAAGAATCGAATCTAAATGGTTTTCCTACCTAATAGCCATGCCTGATATAGCATGTGATTATGCAGCATGCCATAGACACTTAGGCTGACGAGAGACACAAAAATATGTACTTCGCTAACTGACAAGGAACACGTGAAAAACAGAAGATTTATATGTACTCAATTGGAAGTATGCTAACTGTCAACCAATACACACCAGAAGACCACATTGAACTACACCAAGAAACAAACTAGAGTGATATAAGTTTACAAATATTATTCAGCAGTCTTTCAAAATAATTTAGATAACATGTCAGATAACCAATTTCCAGAGCCTACAAACTGAAGGGAATTAGACCAACAGTGACTAGCTAAAACAAACCATATAGCATGTATAACTAATCACATCAAATTCTTGTCTCATTCTGATATAAAAAGAGACTATGCACTTCTTGGGAGCATGAGCAAGATTTGACCCAATGTTGAACATTTAAACATGCATGGAGAGACCATGATTTCATGTATTCAGAGAATATCACCTTTCATTTCTATAATACATAAGAAATGCAAATAAGCTTCTGATTTTTTACTTTCCTTAACAGCAATCCAGCAATTATATTTCCCCATCCCATATGTGATAAGTTTTTTTTTTTTTTGGGGGGGGGGGGTTTACATGGTTATTTTACACCATCTCTCACAGTGTTTACAAAGCATGTCTACAATAGTGCTGCTTGGAAAATGTATTCATGTTTCTCTTTGGATGTTAGATGCCTGGCTATTCTTAAGATAAGACTCAAGTATTTTATCTCAACTACCAATGTAATACCATGTAAACAAGTTCAATTTATTAAACAGAAAAATCTTCCAACAATTATATAGAATAAATAACACCTATGATGCTCTAAAACGAATGTTAATAATCTATTTCATTGTCAAGGAAAAGTTCATGGTTATGCCAAATATGATCTCTTGAGAGTCACAAAATGAAGCATCGCCCTTTACTTTCCTCTTGAACAGAAACAGATGATTAATTATCTTCCCCTTGCTGTCTTGTCAATGACTTTCCAATCTCCTTATTGAAAAAAGAGGCATGCATGGCATGCAGACAGAAATTTTGGCATATTTAAGCAAACAAAGGCAGAAATTGCTCATTCAACAGTGAACCTTATATCATTTTGTTCTGATTCACTGCCTTTTGAGCCTACTTTCTTAAAGCTTTTTGGACTTTGAACCCTCAGCGTGTAAGGCATCATACAAATTTAATCAACATGACATTTAAAATTTTGTTTTATAAACTCAATACACACAAATTCGGGCAAAAAGGTTTTAGTAACAAAGGAATGCAATCTGACCATGTAAATGATCCTCTAAGGAGCCCAGTGGCATAAATTCATAAACAAGAAGCCTCTGATCACCATCAGCACAATAACCGATTAAGTTGACAAGATTGGGATGATGCAAGAGGCTGAGCATAAGAACCTCCACCAAGAATTCTCGATTTCCTTGAAGGCCATTGCGGTCAAGCTGTTTTACAGCAACTACCTGCAAATGCAAGATACATGCTCAGATGTTAAGAGCCAACTAGCAACAAAGTAATGATTAAATGAAAATTCAAGACTGACAGAAAATAGAACTTATGTTTAGAATGTAAAGATAACTTGAGTAAATGTTTCTTTGACATTAAAGGCCTCAGTGTGAATTTCAGTATAGAGTAAATCCAAAAGCTTCATAAGATGCAAGACAGCTTACTTGTCCTGTGCTCTCCAGACGACCTTTGTAGACGCGTCCAAAACCTCCTTCACCTAATAAGCATTCTGGCCTAAAATTCTTTGTAGCAGCTGCAAGCTCTCGAAATGTGAATGTTTGTGCAGCAATATGGGCTGTTGGTTCCTTGGGAACAGGTGGTTCCTTCTTAGGATCAGAGCCACTTTTTGATTTTGATTTATCTATGCAATTAGTAGAAGATAAGTAGGAGTGAAAGAAATATTGAAGAAAAAGAGGCATTGGACAAATTAGAAGAGTTTAAAAAATGTGTTGCTATTGAAAACACATATGGAGAAGTGGAAGACTACTAAAAATTAACACAAAGTAACATGTGATACCATAGTGTTCACAAGCAATTATTTTGAAACTAAACTGCCCACTGGTAAAGGTTCATCATGGAAAAACATGACAAATCACATCATCAGTTATATCAAATTTCAGTAATTTTATTTTTCCAAATTGTACAGTTCCACAAACATAACGCCTAGATTGTAAAGTTTTCAGCATCTAGCTAAATCGACTTAGTCTTCCACTACATAAAACATTCCAAATTTTTCATGAGACACAAACCAGCTTGGAAAAAAAGTTATTTCATTTTGTAATATATTTTCATAGAACATGGGTTACTCAAAATGCAGCTATTAGCATTTTAGCATCCACATCTGACAATCGCTACAAGATAAAAGATGTTATCAGACAATGTGAAATACTTGTCTGGTCACAACCAGAGCTAAGGGCAGATCTCCAACTAAGTCACTTGTGCCTCTTGAATTGAACTAAATTCAACAAATGAAATCAACCGATTTCCAGATACCAGCAAATCATTATCAACGGTAGCAGCTGAAGCACAATCTTGGATGAATCAGATCAAGGCAGAAAATAATTTCAGCGAAAATACGTTTTGAATAAAAGGCGAGAGACACAAAATTCAACATAATTCAAGCCAAACCATAAACCAAACTTGGTGGAAAATTAAGGGCAGAAACAATCAGCCATAGCAAGTAATGAAATTTTCTCTGACCTGAGCTAACCCTATTTGTGTGGTTAGACTTGGCAACAATTGAGCCTTCTTTAAAGGAATCCTTCTTGACTGGTACTTCCTTCAACCCTTTGTCCTCCTTGTTGGATGATCCAAAGCAAGGAAAACACCCACCCATATCAAATCCAGACGCAAGAAAGCCACCCTTACAAAACCCTGCAAGGAATAGCTCTCATCACAAAACCCCTCAAATCTTCAACCTTCCACAACAATCACAATTTCCAAACAGACCCATCTGAGAAATCTCCTACCAAACACTGCCTTATGGTCTCACTCACTGACTCCCTCCCTCCCTCCCTCCCTTCCTCTCTCTCTCTCGTTCACTCCGCTTGTATCTCTACAGGATCTTCATCGGCCGTTAAAGGGAAAGATCGAGACCAACATGTCGGAGAAGCAGATCAACCAATCGTGGAAAATTGATGTGGTGGACGAGAAGGTAAAGAAAGGAAAGGCCAAAAAAAAAAAAAAAAGGTAATGTAATAAAAATAAAAAGGATAAAGGGAATTTTTTTTTATTTTTTTTAAATTTTGAGTTAAAGATAAATTATTGGGTTTAGGTAACAAAATCGCGGTACGCAATCTCTCGGGGAATTATAGGATTAACTCGGTTGCCATTATTTTCTGAAAGATGACTTTTCACCCCTTTGAATGTGAATAAATTACAGATACAATAAAAAAAAAAAGTGTGAATAATTACATATGTGTTGTTTAATAATCATCATCACGGTCGGAAAGTGGGCCCCACCCAAATTGGATGTGTGATGGACATTCTCACCACGTTTAAATTTGAATGACTTGATTTCTTAAGATAAAAATTTTTAATCTAATTTTTTAAATATATTTTTAGTTTAAAGGGTTTTTTTTTTGGTCAAATAGTTTAAAGAGTTAACATGTAATTTGAACATGAATTATAAATTTAGAAGTAATTTAAATCCTAAACTTTTAAAAGCAATGTTATAAAAACTGGACCGATCATTGAACTAATTAAGATATCAGTTTACGATTCAATAGTCAAACTATGCTCTAAACTGAAGTCTTATCGATCATAAATAAATTAATATATTTTAAATATTATATGTTTAAAGTAGAAAGAAATAATCATATATAGTAAGAAAAATGAATATTTAAATTAAAAACAAGATAATTTATAATTTATGACATTATTTTCATCCAAAATATATATAATTATTTCATAATTTATAATTTATAACTTTAAAATATATATATACATAATTTATACATATTTCTTTCATTTTTTCATTTCATAATGCTTATTGAGTATAAATATGTATATATTATATTCTAAAAATATGAATAAAAAATAAAAAATGACATGATCGTTCGACTGGTTTCTTGCTTGTTTTGGCCAGTTCATGGATGGTTTGCAAGCTAAGTGATTTTTGGGTGCAACCGAACCAGCTCTATGATCAATTCCAGTTTAACTAATTAGATCAGCTAGTCTAATTTGATTCTAATACCAATGTTTAAAAGGTACATTTTAAACCTAAAAATTAAAGATAGGGCAATTTTATCTTACCATTAAATTTCAACAAATGTTTGTCATTTTTTTAAAAAAAATTAAGGCCAAATGTGTAATTTTTATCAAATTTTACTCTCCATCTCTCTCCTATCCTCATTTGAAAAAAATCACACATTAAATTCTATTTTGAAGGACGTATGTTTAAATTTAATGGTTAGAGTGAAGTTGCCCTTACTTTAATTAGTTAAAGTTTAAAATGTATTTTTTACAAGTTTAGGGTTCAAATTACTTTTGAACTTATAATTTATGATTCAAATTGTATATCAACCTTAGTTTAAACTATTTTTTGCACATTTGTCTTTGAAGTATGATTAATTTAGTTAGTGTTTGGGTTAGTAAATTTAAATTTAAATTTTGAATTTAAAATTTTATATTTCAAATCTCAAATATAAAATCTATGTATTTCATATACATAAAAGTAAATCAAACCATAAATTTTAAAATGCTCAAACAAAAAATTTGGCCCACGTTCATTTTTAAAAATGTTGAGTGATTTAAAGGTTTGAACAAACATTATATAATCTTACAAAATAATTGTTTCCAAAAAATATGTCATTTTTTTCAATTTCCAAGCAATGCAAATTGACATAAAAATTGAGAATTCGTTGGCAAAAAAATGAGAATTCTAAAAAAAATTATGGGCATGGGTTCAGATCATCTTTAATCATCCAAAATATTACTTGGCAATCATCTCTCTCGAATATAATTTGTGTGTGTGTGTGTGTGTTTGTGTTTGTTTGTTTCAAAATAGATTTTATACCCGTGCATTAACTTTCATTTTTTCTTTAAAGAAAATAAAAAAGGAAAGATAATATTTTAATGAGTTCATTTTAAGGAAAAAAAAGGATAAATATGTTATAAAATTTTATTTGAGAGAAGTAAGAAAAAAATTAATTAAAGACTTTCTAGCCAATACTCTTTATTTTTCTAAAATCAAAGTCACTATAATTTAAAATCTCATTTCCCAACCATTTTCTTTGAACCAAATAAATCATAAAAATTAATAGAAGTTAAATGACAAGTAAATATTAACTTGATAATTTTATAAAAATAATAATTTATAGAAAGTGTGGAATAAAATTGTATATGTGGTTATAGATAAAAAATTATAATAATAAAAATTAACTATATACTCCCCCTCTTTAAAAATGTAAGGTATTTTTTAAGAAGTTGAATGTTAAAAAATATAAAATATTTTTAATCTTTTGATGTGTTATCATTGCCCTTTTTTTAAAAGTATCACTATTGATGAATGATTTTATATTTATCATAGGGTGTTTAATAAAGGTAAATATAAAAAGATAGGGTTATTTTAAAAATAAGTAACTACTTTATTTAGAAAAAAATTTAATTAAAAATATTTTATATTTTTTAACAGTGGGACTACTTTTTATTTCCCCAACATATTTGTGATTAGAAAATAGAAATAAAAAATAACATGTTTTGTCATAAAATTTGTTATCCCATGTGTAATCAAATATATATATATATATATATATATACAATTTATTTTAATATATGAATTGTTATAGCCAGGTAAATTAAAATTCTAAAACATATATCTACTTTTAGAATTTTTTTTCTTTTAAGTTATATGAATATCTGATTTTATTTTAGTACTGACTATATATAACAATGGGAGATAAAAATTATTTTTTATTGAAAGAGATGCTTACATTTAATACTTAATTATACCTCAAATAAAATTGCTTCTAATAAAAAGATATTTATTAGCAATAAAAAATAGATAACAATTTGTTTTACTCTTACTCAAATTATTTTAAAATGTAATATCATGTACATATTAGTCTCCACATAAATTAAAATTTAAACCACATATTCTAGTTAAAAAGTTATTACTTTCTAATATAAATAACCACTTATTTTATTTAAGGATTTCTTATCCTTTTGCATATGAACAATGTAAATAATACAATTTTTTATAGGATTATTGTCAAATTGGATTATTATTCAGCATAATTTAATGTAACTTTCTAAAAATAATTTTTGCCATTCACACATTTTTTATTGTAAAGATTTTTTCACCTTTTCATAATCAATTTATTTTATTTTATAACTTGTCATTTTGTGTATATTAAAAACATAAATGACATATTTTATAAACAAAATTTATGATCCTTGCACTTTGTTATTAAAATTAAAAAATAAAAAATTTAATTATAATGTACACAAACAAAAATATGTTAAAATACTATCATTGAACATAGACTATAACTCATTCTAATTTATAATTTATTACCTAATGGATCTTTAAAAAGGGATGATAAAATTTTCTTCAATAATAATTTAATCCTTCAAACTTATTGTTTGAAGAAGAGGTAATATATTGTTAAAATTTGCTAGTACAAACAAAGAATATTGAATTGATAGCCACATAAATTAGTGATAAAATCAAATTGACTTATAGGCAAATTTGTTTTTATTTAGCTATATGTAATATGTTAGGTTATCAGCATAATTTATATGTCGGATTAATTTAAGGGTCAATTTTTGTTTTCAAAACCTAAAATTAAAGTGAAAATTAAAAAAAAAACATAAGGAATTAAATTGATAAAAATTAAAATTGAGAAAATAAATCAATAATTAAGCAAATTTAAGGAATTTAAAATTTCATTTTCCCTTTAAAAATAAACAATGTTCTTTATTCTAAAATTCATTACCCTGTGGTTATTAAATATATGAACACCAACTTATTCTAGTATAAAATTTATTGTACTAGTAAAAAATTAAAAATACATCTTACGCCTAAACATAAGAAATTTATTTTATAAAAAAATTTTTTATTTTAAAATGTATTACCTTGTGCATATAGACATAAAATTTAATGGATGTAGACCGAAAATTTTAGAATTTGTGAAAATTAAATTTATAATTTTACTATAAGTTCCACATTTTTATTACACATTCCACATTTGTTATTTACAATAATAAATTAGATAGTTTTATTTGACAAAATATCTTACAATAGTTCGAGTAAATTAAACAATTATTATTGCATCTCATGTGACATTCATTAAGTGATATGATTTATTTCAGTTATTAAATCTAAATATAATGTATCTCATAAAATCACTATAATTCTATCATAATCCATTAACAAATTTTACTATAAATTTTCTACATTTTTAAATATAAACAAAATTTTTATATGGTTTGCTGTTATTTTTTTATAAGCAAAACAATAATTTTTAAAAAGTATTTATGACATCTTTTCTTAAATACTCTATATTAAATGATAGGTTATTAAATTGGGAAAAAATAAAATGTTAATCACAAGTATATCTTAATCCAAACTTTTCAATTTTAAATATAATTATTAAGATTAATTAATTTTTAAACTGTGTGAATTGATTAAAATTTGTTTATATATAAAGGGAAACATGAATAAGTTGATTTGATTTAAATAATAAAATATTTTAAATTCACATGTTCTGTACAATTAATTGTCTTACACATACACAAAATACAAGTAACAAATAATAAATCTCCCATATTTAAAAAAAATAAATATCATATATATTATTTTTTTATGAGTCTCATGTTTGCAAGTATTTTTTATTATAGGTCCCACACCTATTTTTAAATTTCTATTTTGGGCTTCCTATAAACTCTCAATGTACAAAAATTAAATTTGAAGAAAAGAAACCAAAAAAAAAAAGTGTTACTGTTCATCCAACATTGATGAACAGTACCATGGGATGCACTTTACAATGTATATGATTCTGAACTACCAAGTACTTGATTTATTATAGAATTATTTAATTAATTTTATACATTAACATGGATCTTATGTTTATTACAAAATTTTAAAAAAATAATATATATATATATATATATATATTGTTTATGGTTCAACTAGGATGCCTTTTAT